GCTGTTTGCCAAGCAGCAGTGCCTGATCAGGAAACACCACAGAGGGTTTGCATTCCGTGGTATTCCCAGAACCGGGAACATCCACCTGAGCTCCAGAGCATTTCCCGCTCCTGAAGGTCCAGGCAGCTCTTCCTGCCCAGGCTGAGGCCGAGAGATCACTTTGGTGAGATTTACCACGCCCTGCCTTTTCTGGAGGGGCAGAAGCTCCAGCAGGAAGAAGGAAATTTTGCAGTGGAAGCGATAAAATTTCTGAAAATCCATCCTGAAAACTTCCTGCGGACCCTGCACCGCTGGGCTGATCCCGTTCTCGCTCTGCTTGTTTCCTCCAGGAGCTGCAGGAAGCTGCACTAATATGGAATTAGTGTGGGATCAGCTGGAATATGGTGTTCTGGGCCCTTCTCTTCTTCTTGGTTAAACCAATTACCTCACACCCATAGCCTTCAGTCAGAGCCTAATCAGGTTCCACCTTTTCAAAAATCACTTCAGAACACCCCAGTGTTTTAGAAACGCTCATTTTTTTTTGCCCAGTGCCTGTTCAAGCACTGGGGGCTGGCATTTGTCACACAAGCTGCTGCTCTGCTTTATTAAATCAGAACCAATGGCCTTGGATTGATGTGCTTATCCAGGCTGATGTGTGGACAGTTGGAATTTGTAGATCCTGAGAGCAAAACAATTACGTGTAGCCTTTTTGACAGAACATGCTGAATTATAGGAGTCTGATCCAGAAATAATATGCATTTTAATGTAAATTCAGAACTTACTTGCAGCCCCATATTATGTCCAGTGTTGTGTAAATTAATCCAACATTGCTAGAACAATCTTTACGTTTTAATGAGAAATCCATTTCTGAACTCCACAGTGTTGTTAACTTTTCTTTAAACCTGATATCCTCCCTCCCCTTTCTTTCCCACTCTGATAGACCTTTTTTTTCTTTTCTACTGATACCTCAACGGGTCACTAAAGTGAATTAAATCACTAATTGAAAAGTAGTGAAAAATCCACCTGGAAAAACCTGATCTGTGGATCTGGACTTCACTGAGTCCCAGAATTACCATTTTATGCAGCTTTTGAGGACACCAAGATGAACAGAACACGGAAGGAAAGAAAGAATTATTGTGCTGCTTCAAAGTCTGAGGATGCACATTTCAATCAGATATTTTAAAAAAATGTTACGGTCAAACTGTTTGTTATGATAAACCAAACAGCCAAAGCTTTTATTTTGCAATTACAGAGCGATCGTTCTTGTGACCTTTCCCTGAACCCTTTCCAATTTACCAACTTCAGCATCTTCAGCAAGGGTATCAAACATCAATACAGCTGTTGGACAGCCAAAACACATTTCCCATGGGACCAAAACAGAAACTCCCCTCATGTTTCCCATTCACTTTTCTTCACTTTGGAGACCACTTAATTAGTCATTAAATGTATTTTCATTAATTTTGATTCACTCGGGTTTCCTAAAGGGAATCCTAAAGGAAATAAAAAGCAGTAAATAAATAAGGAAATAAACAAGTAAGTAAATAAACAAGTAAGTAAATAAACAAGTAAATAAATAAATAAATAAGTAAATAAGTAAATAAAAACAGTAAATAAATGCCATCAGATCAGCACTTTTTTCTCCAGCAGCCAAAACAAAGTATCTGTTTGTAGGTCTGAGAGGATCTACCTTTCCCAAACTGGCATTAATTAAATTAATTAAACTGTATTCCAGCGTGTTCTCACCAGTTGTGTGTTTTCACTGAGTTCCAGTGTTTTTCTGTTCAGAAAAAAAAAAAAAATCTCTTTTTAAATGCTGTTACACCACCCTTACCATTGGGTTTTATGTAATTTAGTTTCCTTTCTCATTTTTTTAATCGTTCTTAAATCTCTCACTTATATTTCTTCCAGTTTCTAATGCTTGCACTAGATGTTTCTCTTACGTATCTTTATTTTCAAGGCAAATCGATGCATTTTTTTTTCCATCTTAAATAA